CGGGGGTCGCCCAAAGGGGGGGGGGGCGTGTCTGGGGGGGAGGGGGGGGTGGGGGGGGGCAGAGCGAGAACGATGTCTCCCTAAGTGAGAACATTAGCCAGGAACCATTATCAGTTGTAACAAAGTATCACATATTGGAAACTCTTTGGTTCCGAATACTATTGATCTACTCCCTAAAAGGTCAGCATTTAGTAAAGACTCGCATAGTAATTGCTCTTTGTCATCAGACTCCATATACTTTATATTAGTGGATTTACAATTGTCGGCGCACAGTAGGAAAATGAGAGCAGTGCTTCCCACCCTGATAAATATATAACAAAGATCATAGGATCGTTAGAACCGTTACCAGGTATGCAAAGCCTGGGAAAGGGGGGGCTTTTAAGAAAGATATTGCTCTCAGAATGAACTTGGTAAAAAAATACAGACATATTTATTACAGTGGATTAAAAACATGATTGCATTAAAATAAACGAAAAATGTGCGCATGGTCCAAATACAATACGGTAGTTGTTGCAGTAGTCTAGTTCAGTGTTCCCCAACCCCCGGTCCGCGGATCAAATGGTACCGGGCCGCACAGTCTCAGTGCGGTCCGGTCATGCAATATATGGCAGTGCACGGTCCCGGTGTTCGAACACCGGGGCCCCGCACTGCCGATGGGCTCCACAGTGAGGGGGCGGGTCCTGTGACTCACCTCCCCTCCCGGCCGCGTCTATAGTAACAGGAGGCGGGAGGGGAGGTGAGTCCCAGGAGACGTGTGTGTGTCACACGCCCCGCCCCGTCCCCTGCAGTGAGTGCACACATCGACACATGGCTGCTGCTCCTGGAAGGGTGAGTCTGAGCGGGGGAAGGGGGGGGGGGGTGTCTTACATCATGTCATTAGACGTGGATTATAATGGGGAATATTACACTGTAATGTTCCCTATTATAATCTATTTCTCTGATTAAATGATTACAGGTAGGCATGTGATCTATCAAAGTTTGAGACTACGTTAGAATGTGTGACCAGTGACGTGGTCACACATTTTAACGTAATCTCGCCCAGTTTTTCGGTGGTGGAATAGGTGAAGAATTCCAACGCTTTCATTTTTTGGTGAACTGTATTTTATTTTGAAGGCATGTTTAAATACAATTAAATTAAATCAAAACAATCTAAAATATAAACAATCAACGTCCCCCCCTCAGCGGGCCACGGTAAAATTATTAAACGTTGACCGGTCCGCGGCGATAAAAAGGTTGGGGATTACTGGTCTAGTTGATCGCAGAGAGATTAGCAGATGATGTGTTCACTAGGTGCCTCAACATGTTTCGCCGCTAGAGCGGCTTCCTCAGGAAGACTTCGATACTAGGAGACTGCAACTTGTTTTGGACCAGCCAGCGAAAAACGAGTCAAAGGCAACAGAGGCCAAAACCTTAAGCCCCTAGAATGAGATGAGAGGAGGGCCGCAGAGGGAAGCAGGCTGAAATGGGGGGTGAGGGGGGGGGGGAGAGGAGGAGGTAAGGGAAAAGGAGAAGAGCAGGACATATTCCAAATCTCCAATTGTACGAAAAACTCAGTTCCATCCGAACAGCAAACACCCCTCCAATGTCACCACCACCATACTTTGTATTAGTGATCACAGCACAATGTGAGATGGTTTGGGCACAAGAAGTGTACAATTTAGTCAATCCATCGACTGCCGGGGCTGATGGAACACGTACCTGTGTTATGAGATGACGTGGCTTTGATCTCTGTATCATTATGTGATGTGTGTAATTTACTGACCGTTCATTTTTATAATGACAGCGTGAAGATTTAAAGGAACATCTGAAGGAGCAGGACATCACCATCGGGGAATTAAAGGAAAAAGTAAATGTTCTGGAATCTCAGGTAAAGCCAACACATGATCAATACATAGGTATTAGCAATTACTTTACATCTGTTACTGTACATTGATTGTTTATTTTATTCTATTTCATTTTATCATGTTATTTATATCATTTATATTAGTTATAACAATACATTTTTAAAAGACCTCGAGCGTGCGCACACCTCGGCTAATTCCCTCCAGCCTACAAATTAATGATAATCTTTTAGATTTGTCTGTAAAAACAATCTCAGCATCTGCCAGTTAGTTGACAAATGTCTTTTGCGACAAGATGGAAAGTCAGCAGCAAAAAGTTTCCCAGCACACTCGCCAGCCAGCATGCAAAAAAAAAAAAAAACCTGTCTAACCGCTGAGTTTAAAAAACAGAGGTTTTAGAAGATAAAATTGGGTGCAGGTACGCCAGGAGGCAGTCCAACCTCCTTAAAGGCACGGACACACACCAGAGACCCCGCACATTACAACGGCAGCTGAGACCCCCAGTGAGTCACCGCACCAAATCAGTCAAGCAGTCAGCTGCCGCTGTGATGTGCGGGGTCCCGGGACTGTAGTGTAATATAGTAATGGAGACCGATGGTGTTTTTACTAATAAACTTCCTGTTATCCATTCTCCACCAGAACAAAGAGCTGAAGTATAAAGTAGATCACTGGTCCAGCCCAAGCAAGTTGAAAATGGCCAAAGGAACATCTGTAACGTAAGATTTGTGTTTTATTTTTTTTCTATTTCTGAGGTCTCTGAATGGGGAGTAAATGACTTCACTGACATCTTTACACATGAGTGTGTGCACATTTATCATGACTTTAGTGAAATTGGCTTATAAACCAAAAAATGACCGCTTTTGTTGAATCTGAAGTGTACAAAAAAATATTTGTTCTAGTTTTTGATAGAGCAGGGAAGGATTAGTACTCCTGTCAGGTTGGTATTGCTATCTAGGACTCCGTTAAAGAGAATTATCCTCACTTCCTGTCCTGATGACAAAGCTTTCACTAGACAGGAAATGAGGGAAAATCGGACAGATGTACAATCCTGGTGAGGGTTCATGTCTTCCTTTACTCTACCTGGTGCTGCACAGCCCTTTGTGAAGAAAACGTTCCCACCCGGTCCTCTTTTTACTGGTCATGCACATCGTAGCTCCATTTATTCCTATGGGTAAGTCGTACTCATGGGGACGTCCAGCCACCTGCAGAGTGCAACTTACCCATAGAAATTAATGGGGTTGGACCGAGTATGCACCAGTCGGTCCTGGCAGGTATATGCTCCTTGCAAACGCTGTAAGTTTACCAGGCAGGGCCACAAAGTAGAGCAATGGATAGCATTGCGCCTTAATGGTTAGTATGTCTGCCTTGCAGCACTGGGGTCCTCTGTTTAAAATCAAGCAGGACACTATCTGCATGGAGTTTGCATGTTCTCCATGTATTTATGTGGTTTCCTCCAGGTACTCTGATGTCCTCCCACACTCCAATGACATGAGGCGTATCTACAACAAAGTGCGCCCCTGGCGTCCTGCCCAGCTCCTGGCAACCAGTGACGTCACTGGTTGCCAGGAGCTGGGCTGGACACTGGTCAGAGCAACCCAGCTTGCCAAGAGCTGGGTGGGGAGATGTACACTGAGTGGCCAGATTATTATGACCACCTGACGTTTGTAGGCAAATTAGCTATAATTTCGCACTGAAGTTGCTAGAGGGCCAGACCATTATAAATAGGGAAGCAGGTTGTTTACCACGACAGTAGATGTCATTTCTTTCTGTCTGAAGATACGGGGAAACAACGCGATTTAACAGCCTTTGAACGCGGGATGATTGTTGGCGCTCGGAGCCATGGAGCGAGTATCAGCAAAACAGCAGAATTCGTTAAATGTTCAAGAGCAGCTGTTATTAAAGTGTTTAAAGACTGGACTTTCAGCCGAAAATCTGGGTCTGAACGTGCGAATTGTGGCTGTCAGCGACTAGTCAATGTTAGGGTAGAACGGAGAGTGGCAAGACTGGTACAAGACAACAGAAGGGCAACAGTGCAGTGTCAGATTCCTCGCATCACCTTCCAACATCTCGTGGAGTCATCTCGTGGCCCAACAAAAGACTGATGGGGTGGTCATAATAATCTGGCCACTCAGTGTATAAGGGCCATACATATTTTCCCACCTGGCTCTCTGCCCCCGTACACATCTCCCCACCGGTTTTGGTTTCTAAGACCCGAGCAGGGAGATGTGTATGGCCATTACACATCTCCCTGTCTGGCTTTTAGCAACCTGGGAGTCTCTGGCCGGCATTCCGCCCAGCTCCTGCGAACCAGTGATGTCGGTTGCCAAGTGCCGGATGGGACGCTGGCCAGAGTATCCCTGGTTGCTAAGAGCCGAATGGGGAGATGTGTATGGGAAAGGATGGGGAGAAAAAAAAAGTCAGTTCTCTCTGTGGGTCAGCGAAAGTTTGCCCCTTGAAGTGGTGCCGAGGACATGTGCCATACCCTGGATAACTATACTGATGGAGTGTTGAGATTGCATACCCCTGCATTTCATAGTTTTGTTACATTTAAAGCTGACCATACACTATATAATCTGATTGTCCAATCTTCTATATGTAGTGCTATATGATGACAATCTACAAACACACATACTTCTAGATAATTGCCGGCTTTGTATTCTTTGCATTCCTTATTTCCCATTTCTTCCCCAGTCTTCTGACAGTGGCCGTGATTACCAAGGGGAGATTACTAGCTCTCCTTTTACTTCCTGAAAATTGACACATGTAACTAGACATGTGACTAGGACATGTGACCATGCACATCATCTCAGGGGAGGAAAATGCCTTTCCCTGAGATCTCCTGAGATTACAGATGAGATCTCCCAGCAATGCTCTGCTGATGACAAGACAATCCCAGTGTGCATTGCTTTGGCAAACTGAAGTCATTCTGCCCTCTCAAAGCAGGAAGTGAATGTTCTGCAAGTGTACGTATATCACAATCACAGCATTTTACACCTGACATGTCTATGTTATTATTACTCATCATACATAGAGGGATGCATTGGTAGAATTAGATTTTTGAGTGTAAAGGTCCGCTTTAAAGGATATTGAACAATCAGATTTGAATATGTTTGGTCAGTTTTAGTGTCTCCAAGCTGCTCTGTGATTTATGGGACAGACCTCTTTCCAGCCTTCCAAAATATGGTAAAATGTCATCATTATTAAGAAAGGGGTGAAGGCAACTCCTACATTTACACCATTTTCTGCACTTTTTGAAATGCTGTCCCCTGCTAGGGCCTAGCTCTGTCCCCTGCTAGGGCCTAGCTCTGTCCCCAGTTCTCAACCCAACCGTGGCAAAGCTGTTCCCACCTATATAGACACTGGGGGAGATACTGAGTAAAGCAGAAACTGCACTGTTTCACTGAGTCCATATCAGCTGGAAGCAGGCGAGCAACCATAAAAATGATCTCCTACTGCCTACAGGGGGCACCACCATGCTTCTTGATGGAGAGAGATCTAAGTTAGGTCTGCATGCTGCACCCAGGATGACATCATTGCTGTTCTAAAGGTTCAGATATGTTGCTGAAAGCACATTACGTTAATGAATTGCTTTTCTTTTCCAGCGAATCAATGTTTGGCAGTGACAACCGTACCCCTTACTATATGCTGCTGAAGCACAAGAACCCTATGGGGAACAGCTGATAGTGGCTTCATACCAATCAATCCTCATCTGCTGGACTTACTACTTGGCGGAGTTTCATTTCAACGTCTATGTCACCATCCGCTCTCTTCAGCGCTCAGCTGTCCACATCCACGTGGCAGTATCTTGCAGGTGAACGTCTGCCTTTATTGTTTGCTGCACTGAGGAGAGGAGCGTTCGCTAAGGGTTTGATGTGATCTGAACAATCAATAACTCTGGAGTGCATCTCATTTCTTTATGTTGTTCAGAAGCATATAGAAAAGCTTTAGGCAACTCCTAAATTCAATCACTGAACTGCTGATGCTATTAGGGAAGAGTTAGCGATAAAGTCAGACGGTGGAATCACTTTGCCTTTTTGTGTTTTATATTTAAAGCTTCGGGCCTCCTTCTCATGCTCCAGTATGTGCGGGGAAAGGCTGAGAAGAGGGCGATAGCTGGAAACAGGGGCAAGCTCTGCCATGTGTATTCTCAGTCATGGACATTTAGAAGTTGAGAATGAAGACAACTTCAGGGATTTGGTTACTTGGGCAGCCGGATGCATAAAACTGTAACGATAGACACGAGCACTAGTTGGTCTCATCTGAATAATTCTAAAGGCAACGATTTCATGGTTTAAAATACTCGTATCCAGGGGTGGACAAATCCTAGGAGCCAGGTAGCCAACGCTCCTTTACAATAACAGCTGGTGCCTACTTTTTGGGGTTATCTCCTTATAATTCCTTATAAATTTGCCTACTCCTGCTTGACACTTTGCCCATTTTAGGGCAGCGACACAGTTTCCCATGAAAAACAACCCTCACACATTGATACTCACCTTCCTGCCCCTCAGGGGCATCTCTTTAGGTCACATTGGGAAGGCCAGAAAGTAGAGTGGCATGGCCTCTCTGCTGCATGATATGTTTGCAGTTTGTCTGCCGCCCCTCTCTGACCAGAGCGTCCCAGGTTGCTCAGAGCTGGGCGGAGAGACGTGTAAGGGTCATACACATCTCCCTGGCCAGCTCTTAGCAGCCTTGGATGCTCTGGCTGGCATCCCACCGAGCTCCTGGCAACCAGTGATGTTACTGGTTGCCAGAAGCTGGGGGGACGGACGCCTAGCTGGGCAGGAAGAGCATCATCACTCGACCACCATCCCACCCAACCTACCCCCCTTCCCCCACATCATTCAGCAAAAATGCAAGGGACAACGCTGAATGGACATTTATTGCATGTTTACACCATTTGGATTTAAGTGCCCTGTCCCCAACAGCCCTTAAAAGCCAAATACTTATCTTCCCCAGTCCGCTAAGACCTGTTGAAAGTAACAATAGCTCAGAGTTCAGAGAGAGGTCAGCATGTTTCACTGGGCAAAGCTGACACAGAAAGAAAAATGATATACTCCGATAATGGGAGTCTCGGCCTTCAGAAAAAGTAGACTTATGTCGGACATTGACAGAACAAAAGAGGGACTGCCCAGAGGAGGAAAAGGATTGGCAAAAGGTTATTATAGCAAGGGAAAGTCTTCCTAAATATTCGCTGGACAGATATCTACAGGTAACAAGTTCTTTGTAATTAAGGACTGGGCAACATGCGGCCCACCAGCTGAAGATTAACTAGAAGTACCAGCATGCCCTGCCAGTCACACAACACTTTATATAAACCATGAAATCTTTTCGTATGCACTGTACTGCACATTTTAGCTTGCATTGTATTTTTATTGAAGATGTTGTTGTATTTGATGGATACCATCATATTGAATTACTCACTAGGCTGATCTCAGGCTTTCCCTTGAGATCGGAGTTCCCAGCTCCTCCCACATCCAGCAGCCAATAGCCATTACTTAAACAGATGAAAATCTTGGGGTGGTCACAATAATCATAATAATAATAATAAATGGCCAAGCAATGAGTGAACAGAGCCTGCAAATCTAATTGGAATAAGGGAAGGCCTTTCATCACTTGAAGGAAACCTGCATGAAGGAGGAGGTAGAACATAGAACTATATGAGACTGTACCTGTGTTATGCAGGTCAAGGAATACTAGTTCACTTCAGATGTATGTATTTTCAATAAACTTGTATATACTTATTTAATTTGTGAAATAAAAGATTCTGCATTAATATGTTGGGTGATGTGTCATTTGCAAAGAACATGGAGAGAACTACGGAGCTGTCAACTCAACAGGCTGTGGCCTTTATTTAAAGGTCCTCCTGGGATGTTATTGTAGCACTCCAGACGTGCTCAATGGTTTGCATTCTTTCCCCACAAGGATTGTGGTTTGGAAAGTGGAAGTGCGGCGCAGAGTGAAGAGGCATTGATGTTCCGCTTAAAATATTTAAAGTGTTGCTGTACTTAAGAGTGATAAGACTGGGCAATCCCACCTCCATAAAAAACAAACTATCACTACAGACCTCAGATGATACATGGACCCACTTTCCACTGCCCCGACCTCTGCCCCACCCAATCATGTTTAGAGCCTGTAAGGAGCCGAGTGCTTCTTTTATAGAATGGTGGCATGGCTCAGAGCGATAGACATAAAAGGGATAGCCGATATCCAAGAAGACTCTATAGCCTGGAGCTGTGCTGAAGAAGTGACCTCCACCTTCAGGCTGTAAACACTGACCAGTACATTCCAAGGAGTCATTTCATTCTAGCACTATTTTTCAAGATTCCTGTAATATAATACCTACCCCGAAAATAAGACCTAGTTTGGTGGTAGCATGTGAGGGGGAACTTGCAGGAGAGATGATATCAGCCGGCAGGGACATACTGTATTAGGCTGGGTTCCCACCTGGGCGGATTGAATATGCGCGTTTTCCGCGTGGTTTTTTTACCGCGATTCGCGCGTTTCCGAGGGATACTTGGCTGTATCCCAATGGAAAAGCCCGACCAAAACGCCCCAAATAAGTACATGTACTTCTTTGGGCGTAGGGCGGTTTCGCGCACGTTCGTACTCGCGGAAAACCGCCCAGATGGGAACCATGCACATTGAAAATAATGGCATTTCCCTGTTTGAGCGTTTTTCCGCGAGTACGAAAGCGCGGAAAAACGCCTAGGTGTGAACCCAGCCTTAAGGGGATGACAGGGGACTCCCTGCGGCCAGCGCAGTGACAGGGAGCACTCCAGTACCATACTTCACCAACTGCTGTCCCCAAAAGGCACTTCTTAATGTAATGGTACTGTACTGTAATGTGTACCGGTAAATGGTACCGTACTTTACCGTGCTGTCCACTGTCCGATGTCCCCACTGCTGCACCGCTGGTACCACAGTCCCTGGTGGCAAAGGAAGCCGGCGCTGTAGAAAGCAAGGTTGCGGCGGCGGAGGGAGCAGAGCTGCATTAGCCGATACTTCCTCTATAGCGCCAGTTACTGTGATACCAGATAACTTTAGATTGTTGTACAATTTTGTTGCACATTTTAAAAAAAAAAGACATCCCCTGAAAATAAGACCTAGTGTGGTTTTTGGGGGCTAAAAAAAATTATAAGACAGTGTCTTATTTTCGGGGAAACACGGTAGTAGGTGTAAAATGTGCCTGGAAAAAAAAAAGTTAAGGCTTGTGCCATCTTCTTCTCGTGGCGCCTAGGTGAGGATGACAAGTGAAACAACAAAGCAGTGCGGCTTCCACATATTTTGCAAACATTGTGCAACTATAACCTCTGTTTTTAACCCTAGTAGTTAGACCGTGTGTTTTTTTTGCAGGTTGGCTGGTGAGTTTGCTGGGAAATTTTAGTTTTTGTGCTTTGTAAAGCCCTTCCTTTTTGGCACCTTGCTTAAACGCTGGTTATGAATGGATGCGTTTGACATTTGTTTCACTTGTTGGATTTGGTGTGGGGACACACTGGGGGCTCCAGCTGCCATTGTGCTGGGCATCTGGTGTGCTCCTGTGTCTTTAAGGAGGGTGGGCTACCTCCTGGCAAACTTGCACCCAAGTCATCCTGTTAAGGACTCGGACATCAAGAATCCGACATATATCTGTCCCTGGGCCAAATTCAGTACAAAGTGTGCACACTATCAGTGAAGAAATAATAAACGCTGACACAGAGAATCAGAATAAAAATACTTCTTTATTATTGTTTCGCACGGTTGTGTTTTATATAGGCAGCTGATTAGTTTATATGTAAACATAGCGTTTGTTAATATGAACAGGAGCAATAACATATATATATTATAATATATATTGAAATAGGCATTTTTATCATAGTCACTTAACCACATCCATTACAATCCTTTGCTATGTATGCTCCAAGATGGAGGCTCTAATAGATAAGTGTTAGGGCCACACTACACAGAGGGGCCTTGATGAGGCAGTGTGGCTTCCACATATTTTGCAAGAGTTGTGCAACTTAAACCTCTGTTTTTAACCCTAGTAGTTAGATAGTAAAATTTCTTTGCAGGCTGGCTGGTGAATGTGCTGGGAAATGTTCACTTTTGTAGGTGAGGATGACGTCACACTCATTCCAGTTAGATTCTGAGGAATATGGAACTTGCAATGCAATGGAGTGTCTTCTTGCAAGAGTTTGCCTACTCTGTATTCCCCTGGACTTTTCCTGGAAGGACGTGATGACCAGCAATGTGGAAGTTAGGAATAAGGGCCCATTCACACCACATCCAGATCATCTCCAGACCAGATTATTTCCGGACGCAAAATGCATCCTAATGTATCCCTATGCTATTTCTGGCATCTGTACACACCAGCGCAGTCCGTTCCAGACCAGACCAGAAAAATACGGCATGTCTCATTTTGTCTAGTCTGGAATGCACTGGAACTGTGGCAAGTGGTCAGGAAAATGGTGTGAGCCTGCTCTAAAACAAGTAGGTATAAATCTAACTTTGTTTTTCTTTTCAGGTACATTTGACACTTTCTATCAGCAGGTGATTTGTAGAGGTGGAGAGGGCCCAGGCAATTTGAGTGCACCTTGTATATTACGGGCAGCTCCACTTTAAGTCTATCTAAAGCCAAAACTTGTTTTATAGCTTTGGAATAAGTGGTGAGGATTTACAACCTCTGTCTGGTTTTATTGCTTTCTGATTTCCGCTCTCCATCCTGGTGACCACCATCGCCTGGACTTAAACTGACATAGAATCCATAATTTTGAGTGGTCACCAGAACCATAGAGGGAAAATCTTCCAGTGG